CGTTACTGTCGTTACTGTTGTTTCTTCTACTTGCTTTGATCAGTTTCCCTCTATGATTACGGACTGCACCTGGTTTCTCTTCCTGTGGGGAGGAGGCAGGGCTAGGGCTAGGGCAGGACCTGCTCCGTGCCACCGGCAGCAAAAAGGGGCATTAGGAGGAGGAAAGAGGTTGTGGCTCAGGACGGGGAGGTGAAGGTTCAGGCAGGCGTAGGCACACAGGGCAGAGAGGAGGTGAGGAACAAGGCGGGGAGGAGGTGACAGACCCTGGCCCTTCACTGTGGGCATGACTGAGATGCCCAGAGCCCTCCAGCATCGACCCTCCATGGGAGGGTCAATGTTGGGTGGGATTGGTTCTGACACCAGCTCCTACCCAGTCCTTCATTCTTACTCTCAGCTCTGCTCAGACTTGCTGTCTTCCTAATACCAATATGATTTCCACCACCAACCTGTCCCCGGCGTGCTTTCGCCCTGCAATGTGACCCTCCTTCCTCCAGATCTGACCTCAGCCTGTGACCCCTTGGGAGCTGTGTGATTCCCAGTTGGAGTCAGGGGCTCTGAAGTCTGAGTTCGGCTATAACATCTTCACAGTATTTTTACCAAAAGCAGGACCAAAGAACTCATCCCCGTGAAGATGGACACGAGTGACCTGTGGTTTCTTTGGGGCTTTTAATTTTAATTGGCGTATCTCTGGAAAAGTGCTAATGTCGTCCAGAAGAGGCATGAACTGTGAATACCCTGAAATGCTTGGTTTGAAAAGAGTCCTAGGGGAGATGTAGAAGGGCTCTAAGGATTCTTGAAAGATCCTTTCTGTGCCTCAGAGGCTTGTTAAAACGGCTTTTCATTTAAGTCGAAAGGGTGGATCGCTTACTCTGACTTTAAGTCCTTCATTCTTCAGAATGGAAAATGCCCAGCGCCCCCAGCGGCCCCATCCAAGGCTCACCCGGCTACATGAACTCTATCATATGCTCTCTGAGACTCAAGAGCTTGGCTTTAAGTGAGGGAGTGTTCTCCCGAGGCTTGGTGGGTTTGGAGATGCAACTGTGTGTTTCACAATCTGTACTCAAGCATCGCAAACGGATTCTCCCACCAGCTGGAGAATGTAAATGAGAGTAAGAAGAGTAGCTAATATATGCTTATTCGGGCACTGTATTAGCACATGCTGTGAATTATGTCATTTAGTCCCACAACAACCTCATGTAGTAGAGATTCTTTTTATTTTTGTTTTTAAGATGTATTTATTTTGGGGAGGGGGCAGGGGCAGAGGGAGAGGGAAAGCCGGAATCTCAGCAGAGCCCCCACTGAACGCAGAGCCCGACTTGGGGCTCCATCTCACCACCCTGAGATGGAAACCTGAGCCAAAACCAAGAGCCGGATGTTTCACCGACCGCGTCGCCTGGGTGCCCCAGGACTGAGACTCTTTTTAAATCCCATTTCACAGGTGAGAAAGCTAAGAGAAGTCAAGGGACTCACCAGAGGACACAGAGCTAGCTAACAGCGCAGTCTGTATTTGAACTCAGGCGTGATTCTAGGGTTTATGCTCTCAAACGCACTCCTTTCCCATGGGCTGGCTCAGTAAATACTAAAATGTTTGATAGTACTCAGGGTGCCCAAAGTTGTGGCAACATGGGCACCTACACATTCTTGCGGGGGGTGTAAATTGGTACAGATTTTTGGAGCACGATTTGGTAGGTGCTAACAAAATGATACATTTGCTTCATCTTTTAACGGTCTCTGGCAGTCCGTAACACGGGAAGCCTTGGGTTTGTAAATAAATATATATGCGAGTGTTCACCATAGTATGGTGTGTGGAGACAAACATCCACCAATAAGGCTGGCGAAGTAAATTACAGAACGTCCGCGCTATGGAATTCCACTATACATCGAACACTTCGCTTTTTCAACAATTTACTGAGTATCCGTCGCACTGGATACGGCCATGAACAGGCAAGCCAGGCACCCTCCAACCCTGCAGAACTTGGGTTCTGCCAGAGAACTCGGATAATTCACAAATTTTTAGTTTAAGTCCATTTTCCATAATGCTCCTGCTTTCTTAGTTGAGTGAGTAACGCAGATGATCCCAGACACGTGACAACAAAGCTGTCGCCCGTGCAGTTTGCATGCCACCGCTAGATGAAACAATTCACAGCGAAAAGCTTTCCTAAGGCCCACCCACGTGCCTGCACCACCCTTGGAGCCTCCATCGCTCTCAAAATTATAGGTAGAATTTCATCGCCGTAAATAAACACTAACAGAGCGCCCGACCAACTTTTGTTGCATTATAAACTGTAAAAGTAGAATCAATATGTCCTTAGTTGGGGCTTGAAAACCAAGATTTCAATGCAATGCAAGGGAAACCTGCAGGGCTAGCTGACTCGGTGGCCATTTGACCTCCACCCACATTGATTTTACTTCTTAATAAAGTATTTCTTCAAGGGCAAAGGGAGGGATGGTCATCAGACAATATCTCATGACTTGGATCTCCCAGCTTGGATTCCTCTTTACTACCTCTTGACTTGGTTTACCATAATTTGAAGATCTGAAACACCGAAAAGCAGCAAAAAGATTGCTGTGATGCAGTATCTACTGCCATGGGAAGTTTCCCAGGATATATTAAGGAAAAAATTTTAAATCATGGTGCAGAATAAGATATTCAGTATGATGCATTTTTGTGGGGAGAGTTCTGATGTGCGCACGCGCATGCGCGTGCACACACACACACACACACAGACAGTTGCACACACATAGTAAAAGGTCTGGAATGATACACACCAAACTGCAACATTCTGGAGAAGGAGGCAGAAGGCAGGGAGCTGTTAGGGTGGAATATGGTCCACGTTCACACTGTGTGCTTCTGTGATGCTAAATTTGTCTACAGTAAGCGTGTACACTTCTGCTTATGCAATATTCCGTATCTGTAAAATCAAAGGAAAACAAAGTACACCAGAGCTGGAGGATGAAGGCCGTGTCCGAGAACTCGGGAATCAAGATGGTATCATAGAAGTGGTGGGCAGCCGCTGAAGGGCCGAGGCAGGGAATGGAGACGGTGGGATTTGCAGCCCTGTGGAGGGTGTACTGGGGGAGAAGGAAGAAAGTGTGGAGGCTGTGGAAGGGCTCACAGGACTTTGCAGACCGTGAGCTTGGGCTTGGACTTGGAGCCTGAACTCTGGGAGGGGCGGGAGATGGGGAAATGGAGGCACACTGGAGGAGGAGCAGGCTTCTGGGGTCAGAGGCAGGGCTCAGCGTGGGCCACGGGACAGATGAGATGATACAGGGAAACGGGTCATGGGAGACCCCTCGCCTGCCTTGTGTCTCACACGTGACGTCATGCCGGACAGCCTCTCTCAGCCCTTCCCCAGATATTTATTAGAAATGAGTGAGGGAGGGGCGCCTGGGTGGCTCAGTGGGTTAAGCCTCTGCCTTCGTCTCAGGTCATGATCTCAGGGTCCTGGGATCGAGCCCCGCATCAGGCTCTCTGCTCAGCAGGGAGCCTGCTTCACCTCTCCCCCTCTGCCTGTCTCTCTCCCTACTTGTAATCACGCTCTCTCTGTCAAATAAATAAATAAAATCTTTTAAAAAACAAACAAAAGAAATGAGTGAGGGATGTGTTCCCAACCAATGAACCAGTCTCCCATGAGCCATGTAAACCACTCAGTTGGGACCGAGAAATGCTCTCCTTGCAGCCACGTGATTGTGGGGGTGTCTTTGCATGCAAAGATTCTTCCCCTGACCAAAAGAGGGAACTGTCAGGGAAGCCTGAGCTCAAGAAGAGGCTGTTGCCTCTGCCAGCTTGTCCCCAAAACCCTCTGTGGGTGCCCGAGCCAAGCTGGATCTGGCTGAGCTCCCATCCTCTTAAAGGCCCACCCCACCATGGGCTGCAGGTGAGGGGCTCCGGGCCCAGAAGGCTTTTCATAATCTTTGCGCCTGAGCCTGGGGACACCTCCGACCTCCTTCCAGTTTCCTCGGGGCTGTGGGATTTTCTGGGCGTGGTCCCCACCAATGAGAAGTTCACCAGCTCACCCTAAGTATGTTCGAGGCATTTATGCCAGGCATGGCTCTAAGGACGAGGGCAGAGCTCTGAGCCAGCCAAGCAAGCCTCTGCCCCCCGCCCACAGCCTGGAACTCAGGGACCTGTTCGGTCGGCAACAAATTTCTTGCTTCCTCAGCTGGTGACATTTCAGGTTTTTCCGGACATAGTGGACGGTGGTGTCTGAGCACTGCTGGGCCCCTCCAGGGAAGGTCCCTAGCCAAAGCCACATCTGGGCCTGTGGAAGTCTTCAGCCTTGAAAAGGTTTATGCTATTCCTGTGCCCCGATGTGTAATTGAAAATAAAAACCCAAACTATAAAGTTAAGCAAGATCAACAAAGTTCTGATTTTTGCCCCTCACTGATGCCTTAATGCTTTCCTTCAAAATGCTAATTATCAAATTCTTCCTCAAAAAAAAAAAAAAATCATTTTAAGTGCCCATGCCACACGCTGTCCAGAACAAAATAGAGCAGAATAATATAAGGGGCATGAGGGGGGAGAGGGGGTTGGCCCCAGACTCTGTTCTGACCTCCTTGTCCAAGGGAGTCTGGTCACGCGTACAGGTCTCAGCAGCAGGAGAGGCCCCAGGAAGGACAGGCCTCTGGAGCGGGTGCTGGCTACACTGCAGCTCCTCGTGTAGCCAGTGCCTGACCGCAGAGCACGGGACCTGCGCTCCAGGCTGGGCACTGTAGAAATCTGGCCATCAGAGCCAAGTCCAGGTCAGAGCTCTGGCTACCATGGGGGAGGGGCGGACAGAGCTGGAAAACAAAGTGAGGCTCAGGGGGCCCATGCGTGTGCACCACCCCCACCCCCTGGGATGGCCAAGGCTGCAGGGCTTTCCTGGGGGGGGCGTGGCTTCCGGGGAAGGGGGAGGCTTGGCAGCAGGTAAGGGGGTGGACAGTGTCACCAAGTCAAACCTCTCTTGGCCCAGGTGCCCGGCTCTCCTCACTGAGTATCTCTGGTCCTTTTTTTGCAGAGTGATGAGGTCCTCACTGTCATCAAAGCCAAAGCGCAGTGGCCAGCCTGGCAGCCTCTCAACGTGTAAGTAGCAAGCAGACCCCGGCCACAGCCAGCCCTGGCCTAGCCTCGCACTCAGAGCTGCCAGCCCCTGGCCGCCGCCTGCCCATGAGGTCAGCAGCACCTCTCAGGCACACGAGCATGTGCAGCTCACTGCCCGCGTGTGGGCTCCCACACCTGCCCCTGTCCCCTCAGGAAAACAGGCTTGGTCTCTGTTTCCTCCCACGGCTCTACCACCGCAGAACCAGACACAACGATTAACCATTCTGTGTCCGCTCATGCTCTTGGCTCAGGCCGAAACTGCCTTTGTACAGGGGGTACTCACCTGAGGCCAGGGCCCCCTTACAGAAAGCCAGATTTGCCCCAGGTTCCCTTCTCAGTCCCCATCTCTGTTCTGTCTACTCTGTCTCTTGAAGATTTTATCCTCCCTTGCATTTTAGTGACCAAGGGTGTGCTCATGGGCCTCCCAAGGACTACTCCCCAAAGTAGCTTTGTAGGTAACTAGGCAGACATGTACATAGGTAAGTAGACAGATCAACCGTCCACCGGTTTCTTGGACACCGCTCTCCAGAGGGCGTACATGGGCCTCAAACTCATCATATCCAAAATGGATCCCATCACGAAGTCCCGTGGATCCTGCCTTCTTCGTATCACACACATCAGTCTCCCCTTCTCCCACTCTGAGTTCCGACCGCCATGTTTTCTCACCTGGACCGCTTCAACTCTTCCCTCTTCCATTACGCTGTCACTGGAGTGATCTTCTAAGAATCCAAATCTGATTGTGTCCTGCTCTCCAAAGAATCCCACCATGACCTCTCTTAGTCCCCAGGATCCCTTTGTGAGGCCACCAGGGGCCAAATACACCCTAGCCCTTGCCTCCTTTTCCTCAGGGCTCAGGTCTTGTTCCTCCCTACTCCACGCCTCGCTCGGGCTCGCTGAGTCCCATCCAGTTCCTTGAGCGGGCTCTGGTTTTGCCCATCCCCTGAGGATGCCAGACTGGGAGCAGAGTTCTCGCCAGCCCCGTAAAATGGTTTGCGAAGCCTGGCTCGGCCAGCCAGTCTCTGGAGTAGTCTGTATCCACTAATGGTGGTATTGACTGAGACAGCGACAACACGGGCAATGCTGAGATTCTGCTCAGCGGCAAACTCGGAATGATAGGAAGGGAAGCACGGGGTGAGGTAGCAGGAAGGGCGGGACCCGCCAGGAGCAGGAATCGTGCGGTGCCAGGTGCCCGGTGGCCACCTCTTTAACCATTCGGCCAATCAGAGGTTCGTTCCCCACAATGTGCCAGCCCTATACCAGTCTCGCCCTGTGGCATGCCCAGCGGGGGCATGGGGTGGGGGGAGATGGACAAAAAGCAGAGGGCTCCCATTCCAGAGCTGCCCTTTGCACACGTTCAGGTGGGACCACATATACAGACGGATAGACTATGACCTCATCATGGTAGCCAAGAGGATAAATGTTATGATGAAGCTATCAGTGGCTCCAGGAGACCAGAGATGGGGCGCAAGCCAGCCGAGGCTTGGGGAGAGGTCACGAAGGCCTTGTTCAGGAGGTGTCACAGGGCAGAGTCTGGAAGGATGCTTCTCGCCCTGGAGAGGCCCAGATCTGGGCAGCTCTGAGGCCCACACTTGGACAGCTGACCCAGGGCTGGCTGCGTGGAGGCCTGGTCTAGCTCGCTGCGATCTCCTTGGAGGAAACTGGGCCCAGAGTGGCTGAAAACCTGCCAAGCCCTGGAAGTGCCTTTTCCTGAAAGGAGAAGCCACAGAGGAAGGCCCTGCTGCCCCAGCTCTCCCATGGTAGGTGGGCATCTGTTTGTCCCTGGCCTGTCCCACCAGAAAACACTGCTGTGAATTCACAGAGCCCCTGAGCCTCCTTCACGTAACTATCATCAATCAGAAAGAAAAGTCCAACCATGAATTGTTTGCTCAGGCTCTCCTCAGCTGCTCCCAGCCCCCATAAGCTCTATGTGCGGCAGTCCTCCCCTCTAGCCCTCAAAGCAGGCAGGGGCTCGAAGCCAGGAAGGGGTTGGGGCCATCTGGGCCAGCGTTTGTGGATGGCGATGTTGACACCACTAAGGGACCCTGAGTCCAGTTTTCCCTTAAGGAGCCTGGGTTTAGGAAGGCATCAATGACAAAACAAGGTGCTTCCAGCAGGAGAGAGGAAAGAGGGAAGAGAGAAAAAGAAGAAAGGCGAGAACTGACCTTTTTGTCTTGAGCACCTACTATGTGCCAGCAACCCTACTGGGTACTTATGTCCCTTGTCCCACTTCATCCTCATACGTACCCCACGAGGTAGGGATTTTGAGCCTCACTTCACAGACAAGCCCGAGGCTCCGAGGCTCCGTGGCAGGTGCAGCCTCAGTGTGCATCTCCACCAGCAGAGGAGCTAGCATTCCAGCCATCTCCAGCTGCCTCCGCCACCTGTGACCTTCACTTCTAACAGAGTCCCTCCAATTAAGTGACAGCTCACTCAGTGTCCATTTTTCAGTCAGTCGAGATGTACAATATATGTGTCAGTCACACTTCGGGTCAGAATGAGATGAACATGGTGACCACAACCAAATAGTCTGACTCCTGCCCCAAAACAAAACAGACTCTTGACTTTCACTTACCTCGTATCCTTCGTCGGGGCTGACCAAAACATTTTACGGCCTCAACAAACATTTGTGGTGGGCCTCTAAAGGGAAGTACTTCAAAAGTGCTTAGGAATACAGCAGAGTTTCTCCCACATTCGCAGTCTGGTGAGGGAGAGGCGTTAACCAGATGATGACAAACGTGATGTGTGTGCAAAGTAAGGATACAGAGTGCCATGAGGGTGTGTGAAGGGGACCCTGACCCAGCCTGAAGGTCAGAGAAAGCTTCCTTAAGGCACGGCAATTGAGCTAAGAGTTAAGGAATCAATTGGAGTTGACTAGGTAAAGAAGCAAAGCTAGAGGAGAACATTCTAGAAAGTCTAGAGACATCATCATGTGTCAAGACCCTGAGGAGGGCTCGGCATACTTGAGGTACTAAATTGCTGTGGTGTAACTAGGTCTGTAGATCACAGGTGAATCTGGTGGGGTGCCAAGCCATATGCAACATTAGGGATCTTTATTTTTACATGAAGAGTAATGGGAAATCATTGAAGGGTTTTAAGCAGGATGGCAACACGATCCGATGTGCATTTCAAAAAAGAAAAAAATCAGAACAGTAACAACACTCTGGCTCCAATATGAAAAGGTTAAGAACAGAGGAAGCAAGACCAGTGAGGAGAATTTGCTAATTCAGGGACCTTGACAAGGATGGTGCGGGGGAGGGGAGTTGGGAGGGGTACAGAGATCTCAGAGATGCGTAGGAGTGGAGCCCCACAGGCTGCAGTGATAGGTTGTCTAAGGAGGGTGAAAGAGGCAGAGAGATCTAGGTCAGTAAGTTGGCAGGGCCTGTTACAAGGTTTAGAAGAGTACACGAAGTTCAGTGGGAAGGACCCTGAGCTCAGTTCTGGGTGTGCTATGTTAGAGATGCCTTCACGTGATCCCATCGGAGGTGCTGACGGTTAACTACAAAGCTCTGAAGCTTGGGGAGAACTCTGCACTGACATATAAAATCGGGAGCCATCAAGGAGTAGAAGACAACGCCAAGGTCACAGATGAGAGAGAGCCTGAGAATAAGTCAAAGGTTTTAGGCTAAGTCCCAGGGAGCAACAGCATTTAACGCTGAGGAGGACCTGCCTGCAAAGGAAGGAAACAGAAAATCAGTAGCAAACTGATGGGGGAAGGAAGCTGAGTATCCGGGGAGCCAAGGGAAGAAAGCTGTGCCCATTGCAGCAGAGAGGTCAAGTAGGACGGGGGCTGCAAAATGCTGGTTGGGTGGATCCACATGAAGTAAAGCAGTGATCTTATTGAGAATCCTTCCGGCTGAGCGACGGCGGGAGGCCCCAAGCAGGGTGGACTATGAACAGAAAAGGGAGTTTACAGAGTCCATGTGTACAGACGAGGCTTCCCTGCAGTTGGCTGGGAATGGAAAGACACTGAGCAAGTGGCAGCTCTCAGGAGACGAAAGAGTCAATGCAGTTGATTTGTTTTTGCCTTCTTTTTCAAGATGAGAGAGACTTTCTGAAAAGTTGGGGGGAAAAAAGACACAAAATACTTGGGGACACCTTCCTACCCTTCCCCATTCCCCCAGACTTCCGGAGACCCCCATGGAACAGAATTAATCAATGGCAAACATCAGATCTCCCAACCACCCAAACTCCCTCCGCCTAGTGCTACCAGCTTGTTAAGAGAAAGGAATTTTCCTTTGCTTTACCCATACCCCAGTCTCCCCTTCCTTCTTCCAAATCGCATTAGGAAGTCAAATTAGGAAGCCTCCGCAGCAGCCAAGTTTTGTTTTGCAGTAACAGCTCTGCCCCACGCCCCCTCACTGAGCCCGCAGGATCGAGGTTAATGGGATTCTAGCCTCCCTTGGGCCAGTGGAAAGCCGGGGTGACCTACTTTGTGAGGTCCTGCCCTGGGAAACTGACTTGCTTTTCAATGATCTTCATCTTTTTCCCCAGGACCACTTCTCAAAGAACAGCCATGAACGAACAAATTAGCTGCTGACTTGTTCAGCTCAATAAATCAAGCTGTGGCTTGTCAGCCCCGAGCACAGGTAGAGACAGAAAAGACAGATGCTGAGCAAAACCCACATCCTTCACTAGTTCCTCTGGCGCCTGAGCAGAAAATGACCAGGTTTCCCGCAAATCGATTCTGAATTTCCACCACCCAGTTCCTCCAGCTTCATCTGGATCCTAGGAATTACTGGAACTTTTTTAAAAATAATTTTTTTATTCTCATAATGAATCTTGTAAGGGACTGCAGGGCCCTTCGTGATTCCCAGCCACTCTGTCTGTTTAATTAATATTTGATAAGACAACCCTCTATGGGTTCCCGACAGCTGAGGGGATGGTGGACCAGAGACCGGTCAGCCTCCCCAGAAATCCTGCCTCTGGAGGGTCGGTGTCCCACAAATCACCCAAAGCCGGGGCTCTCCCCGCAAGGACAGAGG